TATTGTTCATATGATTTTATTTTTCATATGAGGCTAAGACTTAAGACTTTGGTATTAATTATATATATATATATATATATATATATATATATATATATATATATAAATATATATATATATAATCAAATGAGAACCATAAAAAAAGGTTACAAATTCGTGAGAACTGATCGGAAAAAATTATATGATTTTTTTCAATCAAAAGCTAGAATTTAAGGTATTGTTTCACAAAAATTTGTTTCATGTGATAGCTTCACATGTATTTGTTTCACCATGTGAAACATTTTAACATGTACTTTTCGTTTCACTATGTGAAACAATATATTAATTTGTAGCCTTGGATAGAAAAAAAAAGTTCATGTCAAAAATTATTTTTATATCGGTTCTCACATGTTTTTAACCTTTTGTGGTTCTTATTTGATTCTCATTATATATATATATATATATATATATATGTGTGTGTGTGTGTGTGAGAGAGAGAGAGAGAGAGAGAGAGAAAGGGGTTCATACGAGAATGATAACTAAATAAGAAAATAATTTTGGACCGATCATTTACTTGAAACATGCATTAAATAAAAGTTTATTAAAAATCGTGAAAATGACATATTTGTCATTTGTTGACAGATTAGATATGGAAATTCAACTTTTTTATATAAATATTATTTAATGAATTTAATTAAGGTATTTATTTATGATTTTTATACAATTTTCGTGGTTTAAACATAATTAATTTTTCATTTATTTATTTATTTTTATGACATTTAAAATAATCTTGATTTAGTTTTTCGATTGAAATATTTATTTTTTATTGAAAATTTTGTTTAATATATTTTTATTATTTTCGGTGTGTTATCCACAGTTAATTGACATTTTTTCAAAAAAAGAACCATTAATTTTCTTCAAAATATCATATGCAATATTGATCATATAAAATTTTAAGTGGAAAAGAAATGTAAGCTATTTACAACATTACATGTTATATTTGTAAATTATGAATTACGTTTTAAAGTACATGTGATCTTAAACATATATTAAATATGTTTTGTTACATATTACATGTGATTCTGTTTTTATTTTTATTTTTTTCCAATATATAATTTGAATCATTGTTGTTGATGCTTTAAATCATTTGTTATTAGGAAAAAAATTGAAAAAAAAAATCAATCAATCGTTAATCACATATGATTATGACGAAATTATAATTTTTTAAAACATTAACTTAAATAAAAATAAATTCTTTAACTGAAAATTAAAGACGTTTATTTTAAATGCATTTGATACAAAATAGATTTTTTTAAATAAAAACTTAACTCACATTAAAATCACAAATATGGTAAAAAAGTAAATCTTAAAATAAATATTTTAAATAATTTTTTTATAAACAAATTACTTTTATGCTTTTATTGGTTTATTTTTGGGACTAGAATCATTTATCTGGTATTCAAAGTTTGCCTCGATTTTATACCGCTCTTTCGATCCGCACTGAAAACTGTCTTTCCCTGTGTTTCCTAGTTTGTATAAGTTCGGAATCAATTTGATTCTATATCTGTTCCTTAACCGACAAAACTGATAAATATATAATTCCTAAAATGTCACAACATAGAAGTGTGTTATTCCTTCATTTTCTTGTTCCGACAGGGTTGGTGTTCAGTGTACCTCTCCACGGGTGCAAGATCAAAAAGAATCCAGTATGATGTATTGAAGAGGGCATTATGCATATAATTTGATTCAACATAGAATAATCAGTGAGATAAATCTTTTTTGATCTTTCTTTTTACAGCTATATTTTCGTAAATACAAACCTAGATCCTTTAAAAGCTGACATACACAAATCATTAAATTTCTGTCATCTCCGTTGTAGTTTATGTAAGTTAATTTTTCTCTTTATGGAAACCAACTCTTTTCTATCATGCTCGAAAAGAGTTGAATTTTATTAAATCCTAAACCTTTAACCATAATCTTTCAAGAAATTTCGTCACTTAACAGAAGCAACCGTTAACCTTCCAAAAACAAGTTTCATAACACACCCCTCAACTTTCGTTACTTAACAAAAGCAACCGTTAACCTTTCAAAGCAACTTTAATAACAACCCAAACTTGTCAAACCAATAACCTGATTATCACATTATAGCAATGTAACTTATAGCCTAGTGCCCTATGTTTCATTGTCGCTTAAGAAATAATTACTATTACACACAAAAATTCATTGCAACGTGTTTGACAAGAACACATACACACTTTATCATTTATAAACTCTCAAACTACTGAGAATAACAATAAAAAAACATTCATAACCAGAAGGGTGGTGCCTAATTGGTTTAAGCTTGACTCCAAAGGTCAAGAGTACCTGGAGGTTTCAGGTTCAAATCCAAGGATAAATAAAATTCCTTTGTAGTCATGGAGGTTCAAATGCCGTGACTCCGGACTATCTGCAAAGCAGGTGGTCGCCTTGGGATTAGTCGGTTCGCATAGCGGGTTGGATATCCAGGTTAATAAAAAAAAACATTTCGTTAGAAATAAACGTTCCAATCAAATAAGTATAAATACAAATAAGTTGTTTTAATTCTTGTTCATTTGCAGTGTTCAATTTTATACTTAATTTATATTTCTATATTATGTTGCAAATAGAGAAAAAGAAAACTACACAAACATGAACCATCCAAATTCTTGAGGAACATGAAATAGACCCAAAATCTAAAGAAAATGAAGAACATTTGCATTTTGCAATCAAAAACTGAATCATTAAAGTATTGTTTGGCAAACATAAGCTAACTTATAAGTTAATTTATTTTCTCAATCCACCATTTGGATAGACATAAGTTAGCTTATAAGCTAGCTTATTGTTCGTCATTTTTTTTTTAATTATATCTCTTATTAATATTAGTTATTATTTATTACTATTAATTATAAATTAAAATTATTAATAAATAAAAATGTAATTATTATTACTATTGATAAATATTAATATTAATAAATAGAGTTATTATTAATCATATAGATTATTTTTATATTATTATTCAATATATTTAGCTATCAAAAAACGAATTTAATAATTCTGATAATGTTTATGTAAGTTGCATAAAAATTAAAGTTATACTTATTTTGTTTTATAAATAATAAAAATTGTGTTAAATGATTTTAATAAAATATTTAATTTAATGATTAATTATAGTTTAAAAAAAATACTAATTAACTAGAATATGTGAGATTGACCAATTTTATTCATATTATATGTAATGATTATTTAAAATCATAAATTAACTTAGATTTTTTTTTTCAAAAATTTCTATATATAAAATCAATTTAAAATTCTTTAATTAATATATTATATTGTTTAATTGTTTTTACTATCTTCTTTATATTAATATATTATATTATTAAAATTTTATTTTAATTATATTATAAAATATTGTAATTGACTAAAATTGTAAGATGTCATTTTTAGTTATTTTACATGTTTATCAACTAATTTTTACCAAACATAATTTGTTCATTAGTTAACTTATCAGTCATCAACTAACTTATCAACTAGTTTGCCAAACATAGTTTAAAAACATCTTTAATAAATTTTTTAAAATGGAGAAAACCAATATATTTTTCAAAACCTCTTTTTAAAATAGAAAAAGTAGGAAAAATATAAAAAAATTCTTCAAATATGAATTTTTTTTCTAAAAATAAGTACTTATAATGAATGAGAAATAATATTTCATTATTCTTATCGATACGAGCCTATCAAATTAAATATTAAAAAAAAATAATAATATTTTAATAAAATTATTATTATTTATAATTTTTAAAATAAAAAATATGTAAGATATTAATGATAAATATTTTTTTAGAGATTTTGATATTTAACCGTGTATTTATGGAAAATTCAAAAAGATGCTCTAAAGAAGTCAAATATCTTTAAACTATATTATAAAAGCACCGCTAAAGAGTTGATATCAAAACCTTTGGCCAACTTTTCTTTCGTTTCAACTGCTTGCTTCTGCTGCTGTCGTCAATTTCTTCATCTGCTAAGCATCATACAATGAGGAACAAAAGGATTCGAGCTTCTAACAACAAGGTTATTTCTTGATTTTCCCTCTTTCTATGTAATGTCTACTTGTTAAATTGTCTACGATTAGTTGTTTAGCCATTGAATTTTGTAGCTTCAGTTGCTAATTCGTTCATTTCATTTGGATCTTTTGGGAGATTGAAGTTAATCGTCATAATCGCACGTCGATTATGCAATCGTTCATCAGTAATGAGCATCGTTGTTTAGGGATTCACCAATAGAAATTTATAAGCTGCACAATGCAAATTCTTATAATTTGCTGACAATTGTGTCTGTAATGATTGCTGATTTTTAAACATGAAAACCGATATCTTCCAGTTTCTTCATTGTTGATCATGCGATTTTACGACCGAATTTTGCAATTCAATTCATTGTTTTATTCAATTAGTGTTGATTGTTCATGCGGTTGTTATTTTTTATGAGCATCTGTTTTAGGGTTTTACCAATTGAATTGTGTATATATGTAAGGGCTTCTGGTTGGGGGTTCAAATGAAAAAAAAATAAGGATGGATGTCAAAGTTAAAGACAATGAAATGCTAGTTTTTTTTTAACCACAAGGTGGTGCCTGATTGGTTTGAGCTTGACTCCAAAGGTAAAAAGTACCAGGAGCTCACAGGTTCAAATTCAAGGAGGGAAAAAAAATTCCGTTGTGGCCACGGAAGTTCAAATGCGGTGACTTTGAGTTATCTGCAAGGCAGGTGGTCGCCCTGAGATTAGTCGACTCGCATAACGAGTTAGATATCCAGGTTAATAAAAAAAATGAAATGCTAGTTTTTGGGCATAATTTGTTGACTATTCGATAAAAAGTTTAGGGGATCTTTTTTCTATTTATAAGAAAACCTATTGTAACCCCCTTTCAGTCGCATCTTTTGGATCATCAGTTGAGATGTGTTCTCAACCTCACTATTGTTGATTGTTAAGGTTATTGATGATTTTCATTTGTGAAGGGTGGTCGTCGAAGATCGACTCGGACTGATTTCATCAGCGAAATGTCCGATGATGTTCTTCTAATCATCATGTCGTTTTTGCCCATCAAGGATGCCGTGGTGACAAACAGTCTCTCCACGAGATGGAGGGCTTTATGGTTTCACTTGATGTCATTAAACTTTGAAGACATTGCGTCGTTGGCCAACATAACCAAAAACAGGAATCTATTAGGTCCGGAACGGATTAAGTTCATCAAGCAGGTGAACTGTGTCCTACGTAGTTACAACCACGAGATAGTTCAAGACTTCCGTATTCGTTACGATTTGGACGGGAGTTTCAAGCCCGATATTGATGGATGGCTTCGGTTTGCGGTCCACATGAGTGTTGAGAATCTCGAACTGGATTTAACGGACTGCAATCAGAAGCTTCGCGACGCTCATGAATGCTATGATTTCCCAATTCGTTTATCGCATAGAAGCATCGGACACCTCTACAAATGGCCGACATCAAAATTCACAATCATCGAGATCCCAAGTCTTAAAAAACTCTTCTTGAAGAGTGTTAACATGAATAAGGCAACCCTTCAGCAAATTCTTGCAAATTCTCCGTGTCTTGAAACGCTATCGTTGCATGGCACTGGTCGCTTGTGGTACATTCATGTCGGTAGGCGAGGTCTTCAATTGAAACACCTCGAGATCGTGCATTGTCCTGCAGTCAGATTCATTTACTTAAATGATTTCAATCTTGTTTCCTTCACCTACAAGGGTCCAGCAATTGAATTAGTTCTTTTCAATCTTCCGAAACTTAAAGTACTCGATATAGGTGAAGGAGTTACCGGTTTGGAAAATAAAGTGTTCCGCCAGATTGGACCTTGCCTCTCGTATCTTCAGGTTCTTTCCTTGGACATACACGATCCGAAGGTTGGTAAATCATCTTTAACGTGTTTATAATCTTATCGAACACAATGTGAGATCGTTTCTTCTCGTTTTTACAGGAAAGTTTAAAGCTTGCCACCGTTCCTGAACTACCAATGATCAAGAAACTGAAACTCACAATTGGAGCCCAAAAAGATGACTGTTTGCTAGAGTTTACTTCCATAGCTGAAGCCTGTCCCCTTTTGGAGGTTTTTGCAATTGAGGTATGATAGGAACAATGCAGTAGGAGATGTGTATATGATAATTTTACTATAAGAAGTCTATTCATTCATTATTTGGTACTTAATTATCTAAATTTTTGCGTGGTTACTACAAAATGTTCAGTTTCTTATTAAAATGTTTATCGTTGTTAAAGTCTCGCATCAGCTAGAATTTGACCTGTTATTTCCTATATATGTTACCTCGGTGAGATGCTGTCGATGACATTAAACTTCGAAGTCTGGTGCCACGTCAGCCAAGATGGCCAATGATCGGAAACACCTTCATCGAAGTTTAACATGATCATACCATAACGACCATAGATCCAATTCTAGCCGAAGTGGGATTTCGCAAAAATAACAACATTTTTATAAGAAACATAAAGGAGCAACTCGGTGGCATCAATAATGAACCGAACTTTTTTACAGTAACCATGCTAAACTTAGATGATCAATCAGCAACTAAACAAGGAATAGACTTCTTATAGTAAATTATCATATACACAATCTCCTAGTTATAGTAACCTCGCTTAATTTAGATAAAAAGCGTGGTTTTTGGAGATTAATTTGGGGTTTCAGCGTATTCTCACAGTTTCGTTGATCTTTTGCCAGCTACATTGGTTGTCACCGATAAGAAGAAGAAGGAAAGTAACGAATGTTGCTGATCACCCCCATGAACACCTGAAGCGGTTCGAATTTGTGGGCTATTACGGTCGAATTAGCGACCTTGAGCTTGTTATGTATGTCGTGTACAATGCAGTGGCACTCCAGAAAATCTTGCTAGATCCTCGTGGCTCGACTAGGAGTGGAACTACAACTACTGAAGCCTCCGTGAAAGCCGTGGAAGTGGCTCGATCTTTTGCCTCGCGGCAGCTCGAGAAATCGATGCCTCTTGGTCGAGGAGTGGAATATGTAATACTCTAATAAACCTTTTCGATAAACTTTGTATAACTAGAATTATGGAATAAAGCGTCTCCTCTTCCTTTGGGAAGAGTTGGGATGGTGAAATCCGAGAACGACACATGTCTTCTACTGCATGGCATACAAGTCATTGTTGCGTCGTTGCTCTGATTTCGCCATCCCAATGAGCTTTCTGGTCCTTGGGCATCAGTGCAAGCCAGTAGGGGGTAAGCCTATGGCTTTCTTCTGGTACATCTTTTACTGCATGATGTACAAGTTAATTATTCTCATGTTACCATCGCAGAAAGCTTTAATATGTTGTTTAATTTAATTAATAGAAACCTTAGACCCTGGGTTTTTTATCTTGCTTGATTTCAATAATAAATATTTTTAACCAAATCAATCAGAAAACTTAAAAAATATTTTAAGATGGTGGAATATGACTAAAATCATATTGAGTATACCATTAAAATGTAGTCTTGCATCTCTTTTAAAAGGTTAATATTAGGGTGCACTCATTTAGCAAAATTTCTTTTAAAAGGTTAATATTAGGGTGCACTCATATAGTATATATATATTGAACTTTTTTATTTTTAGTGATTAAGTCCTTAAAAATATTTAATAAGAAAACCATCGAGTTTTTTTAAAACCTACATCCTTTTAACCTAAAGAATCATGAAACTAACTAAGAATGTTCCAAGGCACTTTTGGTACTGATTTTATAAATTATTCAAAAATACATATGATCGGATTGCTAGACATTTTTTTTGGGTGTCAACACTTGTTAAGAAATGCTTTTGTGAAGCCATGGGGTATTCTGATATTTAGTTCATAAAGGGTTCACTCTTAGTGAGATATGTGGGTGGTGATAAAGAGCAAACGATGATGGGGTAGCGAGGGGGAGTGATACTAGGTGCAACGTGTTTGAATGGCGTAAGATTTGGAAGAATAAAACCAATTTAATTTTTTAACTTTAAAACCTTTTGAGCTAGTTACAAGTAGCTTTTCTGGGTTAAAAAGTTGTTGGTAGCAAACTTGTAACAGTTTGATGGTTGGTTTATTTGGACTTAGAGCATCTCCAACAAATTCTCTATAAATTTTTGGGGAAAAATGAGGGTTGGCCAAAAATATATTTAGCCAACTAAATTTTTTTATGATAAAAAATCATGTGACATTTCTTATAATCACATTCATTCTCCAATCTTATATCTCTTATCAACGTCAAATGACTAAAACAACAACACGATGAAATATTTGAGAAAACTCAAATTTATCATTTTTAGGTCGAAATAGGACAACCAATTAACATCACAATTCAAGATTTATATATATATATATATATATATATATAGGGGTGAGTTCAAATAAAAACCACTCAATTTGTAAAAACCGTGAAAACCTCATTCAATCAATCATAATATTTCATTTTGTTCATTTTTTTGTAATTATGAGAGGTTGATTAAACATTTTTATTATGGAGGGTGTTAATCATGGATATTATCATCTTCATTATTTTAATTTTAGAGATTAGTATATGAAACAACTTCATCAAAAAAAAATATTATATGAAACAATTTCACAAGATTAACAATTTCATGAAAAAATTTCATAAGATTAACGACGAATGAGAGTAGTTTTTACGGTTTTTACAAATTGGAGTGGTTTTCATTTGATCGCTCCTCTCTCTCTCTCTCTCTCTCTCTCTCTCTATATATATATATATATATATATATATATATACTGAAATATGATGATTTGTATAGATTTATCTATCTATTTATTTTCTTATATAAATAGTTTTTTTTAGGAAAATGAGGATAGCCTAAATGTATATTTTAACCAAGTAAACCTTTTATTTATCAAATCTAAATCTTCTCTTTTATTATAATTATCTTCATTCTCCGATCTTACAATTTTTCATCAATATAGGATGTCTGGGCAAAAGTTTTTAGGTGGTGCGGCTTGGCTTCTTTCAATATCCGCACTATCACAGATGTTTTATCCATGGAAGATTTCCCTTCCTTTTCTAACTCTTCAAAAAGCGTATGGCATTTGGTTCTTTGGGTCTCCTTGTACGTGATTTGGAGATATCATTAACAAAGTGGTGTTCTCTAAGCGATTAACTTCCCAATCTGATTTAGCTTTCAGTATCCAACTTCTTTCCTATTGTTAGTTGGCAAATCGTGCTAAAAGCTTTAGTATTTCCTGGACAGATTGGTGTTGCAGGCCTCTCCATTGCTTGGAAATTTCGTTGGCCTCTCGTTGTCGCTTAGTCTTTTTCTTTTCTTTTTTGGTTTTTAGCTTCCTATTTTTGACTCGGTGGCTTGTGTGTAGGTCTTGTTTAGTTTCTTTCTTGAATCCGTGCCTTGCAAAATTGTTCTAGCTTTGTCTCACTTGTTCTTTTTGCTCTAACAAAATTGTTTGTCTTTCAATAAAAAAAAGTAATACAACACAACTATACAAGATTTAGGAATACTCAAATCTTACAATGTCACTTCGTTATCTATGGTTCTTATTCTTTTTTTTTGTTTGATTAATTTTCAAAAATTGATTTTAATAATTTTTTATTTGTTTAAAGCAAGAGTGTTTTCTACAGTGTTTTGATTTTAAAACTAAAAAAAGATATATATATATTTAACACCAACAATTTCTCTATTTTAAATTTTTTATCATTAGTTATATTATTAAAATATTTAATGCATTTAATATTTGAACAATCTTTTTATAAAATACTAAGAGATTGTTTGTTTAAATCTTGATGATGCTATTCAAAGTACTCTTGGACAATTTTGTTTGAAATCTATCCATATTTGTTGGTAATTAATATATTCCCACATTGGCTATGCAAAGCAAACTTCCCTTTTTATCACCTTTATAAATCAATTCTTTTAATTGTCCCCTATCGAATAAGAAAAGAAATTCAACCTTATGACAGTTTAAATCAACTCTTTTAATTGTCCCACATCGATTAAGAAAAAGATGTACTAGAAGAAGGCTAACGGCTCACTCCAACTATGCTCACTGATGCAAAAAAAAGAAAGCTTGCTAGGATGGCCAAATCGAAGCAACCATGCAACAGTGACTTGTAGATCACAGGGCAAAAGTTGTGCATCACTCTCGGAATTCGCTATCTCGAATCTTCTTGCAGGAAGAGGTGATGCTTTATTCCATAATCCTAATTAAATTGAGTTTATTGAAAAGACCGATTAGAGTATAACCAACTCCACTTCTCGACCACAAGGCATCGGTTTCTTGAGCTGCCGCTTGGCAATGAGCCACTTCTACAGCTTTCAAAGAGGATTTTACGGTTGTAGTCCTCCTCCTAGTCGAACCATAAGGATAAATCAAGATCTTCTAGAGGGCAACGACATTGTCCATGACATACACATCAAGTTCAAGGTCGCTAACTCGACCATAATAGCCCACAAATTCAAGTACCTTTAGGTGTTTATGGAGGTGATCAACAACATGCCTTACCTTCTTTCTTTTTCTTGTGGTGAAAACCAATGCAGCTGGCAAAAGATCAACGAAATTGTGAGAATATGTTGAATCCCAGATTAATCTCCAAAAGAGTGCTTAAGGGGAGAAAAGAGGTTCCAACATATATTGAAGAAAATATGTCCAAATCTAAGCTGATTTAGGACTCTACTTCACTCCTTCCAATGGAGAGTAGATAGGTATAAATTGTTCTAGAGTGTAGATAAGGAGCTAGATGAGTAAATATTTCCCTAGAGTAGAAGACATTGACTATAGTAGCAAGTGAGAGTATATGGAAGCTTTTTAGATTAGTCTCCAAAAGAGCTCATAGAGGAAAAGGAGGTTCTAACAAATGTGGAAGAGAATAGGTTAAAGTCTAGTTAATAATATACATTATTATAAAGAAACTGATGGGAGCCGCTCTGTGGCTCAAATACTAAATCGAACTCTTTATCTAAACTTAGTGTGGTTATTATAAGAAGTAGGAGATTATGTGTATGATAAATATACTATAAAAAGTAGAAGATTGTGTATATAAATGAATAGACTTCTTATAGTAAATTTATCATATATACAATCTGACAATCTCCTACTTCTTTTAATAACCACGGTAAATTTAGATAAAAGTTCTCCTTTGGACCTACTCTCTCCAATATATGATAGAACGTCTTTTTTCTGCTCATGTACTCCTTTGGATCACACAATTTCATTGAACTTTTACCAATTGCATTGGTCGTCACCAATAAAAAGAAGAAAGAAGGTAAGGCATGTTTCTACTCATCTCCATGAACGCCTGAAGCGACTCAAATTGGTGGGCTGTTACGGTCGAGTTAGCGACCTTGAACTTATTTTGTATGTCATGGACAATGTTGTTGCGCTCAAGAAGATCTTGATCGATCCTCGTGGATTGACTCGGAGGGAAACTACAACCATAGGGGCCTCCTTGAAAGCCATAGAAGTGGCTCGATCTTTTGCCAAGTGGGAGCTCGAGAAATCAATGCCTAATGGTCGAGGGTTGGAGTTGGTTATACTCTAATCATCCTTTTAGATAAACTATGTCTATTTAGGATTTTTTTTGGAATAAAGCGTCTCCTTTTTTTTTGGAAGAGCTATTAGGGCTAGCAATCAGTAGGGTGAGGGTTAATCCATTATGCAATCCATTTAAAATAGCAGGTAACGACATGAGTAATTATCCATGTCATAGAACTCTTATCCATATCCATACCCTAACCACTAATATAGGGGGTAACGAACGGGTAATAGATAAATGGTAAAAAAAATCATTTTGAACTACAATAATATTGTTAAATATCAACATATAAGTAAAATATGAGTTCATAAATATAATATTTATTTTATATCTAATTTGTTCCAATAAACATTGTGATATTGTTTTAAATATGTTATAGTGTGATATTTTACACAAGAACATAAAAATCTAAAGACAACATTTATGTTTGTTATATTTATTTTAGCGACCTCATATTGCTTCTCATTTGATTATCCTAATTAACTCTTTTAGTTGATGAAAATGAAAAGAAAATTAAATACCAATTAATATGCATTGTTCAACATATAAGATAACATTCTAAAAAACATATTAATATTTAACTTTATATAATTATATGTATGTATATGTATGTGTGTTCGTGTGTGTGTGTGTATATATATATAGATATATAAAGAAAAATTTATTTGAGAAGTGATAAATATTTAAGGAGTAAAAAATTGATCCTAACCCTTAATTTGGTCAACATTTACGGCTTTGACCATGAATCAACGGATAATTCTTTGTATAGGTATGCGGAAGATAGAGTTGTAGTTTCGTAACTTTTACAAATATGCGGCAAACAGGTTCATGTATTAACTCATGTGATACATTTCTGAACTATATATTCACATGTGAACCCATGTATTCACATATAAATTAGTTAATTAGTTCATATGTGTATCGCACGGGTTAATATGTGAATCACATGGGTTCATATGTGAATCAGTTAAAATAGTTGATATGTGAATTACACGAGTTCATGTATGAAAGTATAATTTATATGTGAATCACATAGGTTCATATATGACTCGTTTGCCGCCTACTTGTAAAAGTTACAAAACCACCCTCTCTAATTTTCACATCGCCGAAATCTTTTACCAGTCAAAGTCATAATTATTGATCAGTCAAAACTGTAATTATTGATCAGTCAAAGACACAATTATTGACCAGTCACATCCGATCATGACCGTATGAAAGGCTATGATTGCTTCTTTACTTCTCAAAATAACATTTGGCTATATATATATATATATATATATGTATATATATATATATACTAGTGGTGTCCCCGTGCGATGCAGCGCGGGTGAATCACAATTCTAAAACATTAGTTTGGCCTTGAATCATGAGTTTGTATGGTTATTTTTCAAGTCAACTAATATATAAAGTTGATGGTTAATACGGTGTATTAGCAAGATCTAATGAAAAAATAATTGCACACGTATAGGGTTTTTGAACCCATATACTCAGAGCTCGTTACAAAAACTTGAAATTTTTGACTGAGCAAAGAAATACAATCATTTGTAAATAATGTTCATCAATATATCCAAACTGTTGTTTATTTTTTGTGATGCATTCATCCGTAAATATTTCATGCAAAAACAGCGCAATGATTTATGGTACCAAATGTGTAATAACATAATTGTTGATTATACCTTTTTCATCACGTAAAATTTCTTGATAGACGACGTGTGAGGTGTAGACTCCAGCACAATTGAATATTTTAACAACTTCACTAACACCTTCATATTGCCCCATGATATCCCTCTGGACAATGCCACGTAAAGTTGCCTGTGTGAGAATACTGATTCTGGTAGATAAACACCTACATTTGGAATTGTTTGGCCTTGAGCTTTATTGATTGTCATAGAAAAGCTAAGCCGAATTGGAAACTGTTTTCTCTTCGGCTTAATGGGAACATGTTGTCTTCGGACATACATAAGGGAATTCTCGGCATAAATACTCTCTTTCCAGCATGCTGACCAACAACTATTTCTGCATCGATGACGTTCTGTTGAAAGCCTCTGCAGATCAATCTATTGTCATTACATAATCCATTCGAGGGATCGATATTTCGTAACAGTATTATTGGGCATCCAATCTTGAGACGAAGTTAATGAGGAGGCAAACCACTAACAGTTAAAGAGTTTAAGAACTCCATCGGATAGATGTTGTTCTTATCGTCTTCTGCTTTGTCGAAGCTATAGTATATGTTTCCGTCTCCAGAAAACTTGTCGATCAACTGATCATTAATCTCATCGACATTCTCATATTTAGATGATAATATCACCCTCGTAATGATATAATCCGAATCAGTTTCACTGATTTGCAAAGATGGAAAAATTGCGTCAATCAACGCATCTTTTGACTTACCTTTATCATAACAGAGAATGGTCATGTTATCCGGTATGCGAATAAAGCTTTCATCCACCGCTTCTTCATCTCCGTAACCGACTCTTAAAAAAAAAAATCTGAAAACCACGGATCAGTGTGTGCCCTCATATTGAGCGTTAACCATATCTTTTTAATCGTTGATCAAAGAGGTGACATCTGTAAGCTAGAATCTACAATCTGTGCTCGGGTTTCACGCCTCACAACCGGTAATACTTGTCTAAAATCACCCCCAAAACCATTATCTTTCCGCCAAATGGGAGTGACACCCCTATGATGTCTTGCATTGTTCGATCAAGCTCCTCCACCGCTTGCCTCTTGCCATCGACGTTTCGTCCCAAATGATTATTTTTGCATCTCGAATCAATTGAGCATCCCCACTTTGTTTTTTTTATGTTGCACATTGAGTTATTATCAAGGTTGAGAGGAATTTTGAATCTAGAGTAAGTTGTTCTCCCTCCAGGCATATTATTGGCAGCAACACCCGATGAAGCGGTTGCGAGAGCAATAAGACCACGTGAACGAATGTTGGCAAGAAAAGCTTTATACAAAAATTTCTTCCCGGTTTAACTTGGACCATCTATAAAGAACACTCTTGGACAATCATCGTCTACGTGCCTCATGCTCTCATCATATGCGTATTCTGGAAGGAATTGAGAAAGTCTCGGGCATGCAAGTGTTCGTCTTCCACAACTATAGAGCCTTCCTTTTGTACCTCAAGAAATTCTTCAGATTGAAAATTGGCATTTGCATCTACCATTGGAAAATCAAAATCATCAAGACTCTTACCCATAGACTGTAGAAAAACGAGTATATCAGTTAGAACCATATTACAGACTGGATTAGCACTTTCACATTCTCTCGTATAATCTTCAGAAAGTGAATCATAGTGGTCATCCCATAACTTACGAACATCTCCCGGCTCACAATAAATCAACATCGTGGCAAATAACCTCCTAAGAGCAGCCGAAAATTGAAATAAGGAGGCCTCTGCAAGACATTGGGATAAGTTGTCGTCGCTCTCTATTAACCCTCTCTCAAGAGATGCTTTCTAAAATGTAGGGTGCAATAATCCGTTGAAACTGTATAGATCATCAAAGCAAGTAGGCCCACTAATGTGAGACAAAAGTAGGCGTAGGTAGAACCGTTCTCCTTCAGCTGGATTTGCAGACACAAGTCGACCTCTCATTGATCCTCTTTGTCAGGGATTCCATTGACGTATGCTCTAATTCCACGTGTAGTGTTTTGGAAAATCTTTGTACGAATATTGTCTCGCACTCACGTATGTTCTATTTCTATCAAAAAATGCAGTAAACATCGTTCGCTTATCTCTCTCTTTATCAACAATATCTATAATTATATCGTCATATCTAAACCTAACCATATGTTTGTTAGGGAGATGGAGTTGCAATGCCATCATGTAAGGGTGCATTTGAGAAAGTGTGAAGCAAAAAATTTGTCATATCGCCTCGGGAGGGGAGACATAACGTGCATCTTGGAACCTTCTAATTTCGTTAATAACGACCTGTTATTCCTCTAAATCGATATGAACAACTGGTTTGACGTGACCCTTGTAAACATATTTGAAGATCTACTTCACAGATGTTATACTCGAGCAAGCCTCAACATTGATATGACAATTGAACATCCTTAACAGTTTCGGGTTATACGGGACCACCCATCTATTATCCAAGATATTGCCTCGTACATTCACATTTATTCCACTATTTCTTCGTCGATATAATGGATATGAGTCCTCAGCATGCATCATCTTGTCGTTGAATTGTTTAGGATATCTGAAACAACATTTTTTTGGTTCACCTTGCATATAAGGACTGGACGGTCGTAAATGACCACAAGGACCACACATCATGTGTTGGACGACCAATTCGTGCATTTGGGGATACCTAGTTGGGTCTGGAACATGCATTATGAAGCGTTTACCAAGAGTTAGATTAGCTCAAATACTGTCATGTGACTAAATAACATTTGTCCTATCCTAATACTCTTTCCTATTTACTGTGATTGATTTAAATCCTTTCAGTGAGTCCATAGTTCATACCACCAATATTTAACTCTATGCAGCAGCAGATTCTCAACCCATTAAATTCAGAAAACCACTAAATTCAGATTCTCAAGCCAAATACATTGACAGTAGATTCTCAAGCCACCAAAATTTCTGTTTACAGTCTTGTAGCAAAGAAAAATCACATCCATGGGTCCTTTTATTCTTAAATCTATACTCATAATCTTTAGTTTAATTTTAACTTATAACTAAAGAATGTTAGTTGATGTAATGATGCTGACTCTACATAAATATTTGTTTAAATCTGTCAAGTATATGACTTTGACCTTTTAAATTATGAATAATCCATGTGACTTGAATTTTGTCTTAACACCTTAGCCATAGCCTGTGTCATGAACTATTGAACAAAGAATAGATAATCTGCAATTATCAAATAAGCACATATTATTGAATCTGTTTATAATCAAGACCTGGGGATGCATGTATATCATACTTGGTTTTTGAGGATTGATACTTAAACGACTTAACATTCACATTTGTCTGTAACATCCTTGTTGACTTGCTTGGT